CAACGGTAAGCCCCCTAGGGCGGAGGAGGGGCCACTGCCGTCTCAGCACGGGCTGCAGGGGAATCTCCGCTCCGGCACCTTCTCCCGCTCCATCTTTGCTGACTATGGTGTCTGCATGACCGTTTCTCTCTGGTCTCAGTCCTCTCTCTGCTGCAGCTGTGCCGAGCCTGATGAACCTTGGCAGTGCCAGCAGGACGACCTCTGCCCATGGGTGCCCTAGGAGCAGGGTACTTAGGAGCTCTCCCAGCTGCGCTGCCACGGCCATTGCCAGTCGGGCAGTGGCGACCCAGTGTAGGCAGCCCCCACCTCCCTGCTCTCCTCAGTGCAGGTGCAGCCTCAGCTCGGGCTCTTTTGTCCCCGTCTTAACTGGGGCATTTGCAGAGGCGCTGATGGCTCAGCCCTGGCCTGAGGGGATGGGGGTGTGACCTGGCCAGAGGCGGGAGGCTGCTCAGACTGGCTTTGGATCCAGAGAAGCTTTTTGCAGCTACTTACAGGGGCCATTTTCTCAGCCCCTCCTGTGCTACCAAAACCTCATCTGGTAAACCCAGCACAAGTTGTGAAGTCTCTTATTGTTTTTTTTTTCTTCATATTTAAGCTAATATACATTGTACATTTCTTCTCATTAGAACTACAGTCAGATTTTTTTTTTTTTTTTCAATTCTTATGCCCTTATTTCCATTAGTGGTTTTGTGAAGGATTTTGGAAGAGGTCAGATGAAACAGTGGCTGCAAACATCAAAGACAAATCTCTTTTGCTTTTTAGTTTCTCTTTCATTCTTTCACCCTGTACACCTTAATTGGGAATCGCCCTTAAAGGGAACATGGTACTGGTTTCACATCTTCAGGAACAGCACCAGTCTCCCTTCTTACTGGGAAACTGTTCCTGCATCTTGACACATTTCTAGAATTTTAACTCCATATTAATGCTATAAAGAGTAAGATCTGTTTCTCTATTTCTGCTTGTTGGCTACACCTTTTTTTTGACCATGCAATAGGTTCAGTTTTTAAACAGGGACTTCACACTTAGTTTTTTGTACCTTTTCCACCTCCATCTGGCTGAGATATTCCCCATATCTTAACCACCTTCTCACTTCTCCTTTTGATTGGCGTTATATGGTAAGACAGAGAGTGTTACTTGTGATTTTGGGGATGATGGCAAGAGCTAGGATTTGCAAAGGATTGTCATAGGGATCTTATGGAAGAATTTTGAAGCAGTGTGGGTAGGGTGGTTAAATACCGTAGCTTGCATCTGTGAGCAGAAAAAGAAGGTTCACTGAAGTCAAGTGGAGATTGCAGAGGGCTTTAAGACAAATTTTCTCATGTGGCTGTCTGCATGGTCATGTCCTCTCTCTCGTCCATTGTCTTCTTAAAAGTGCTCCTTTTTCTTCATGGCAGTCTTTGCATCTTGTTCCCAGTTTTTCAACTGACAGGACCAAGGTTGCTGCCTCCTGTTTTGGTTGATATAATGGCTAAAGGGGAAAAGA